CCACATCCCATGTCTGGCGTTTAGATATATTGTTCGGTTTAAAATAACTTTTATATAGAATAAGAATGGTTACCACTGTCAAATAAAACCCCCAATTTATTAATACTGCATCACCGCTTTAAAACTTCTGGTTATCATTTTCGTATAAAGAAGGAGGTGGGGCACTTTACATAAATTTTTTAACAGACATTCTTGGATATTTCTTGAAGTACACGTACTGAACTACGATAAATGAAATGAAATGGGGTTTAACGTCCTACTGTTCTGCTCCTATACTGGGCTAATGAAGACGGGCAACTACGATAAAGCAGAAGTACTACCCTAGCATAGAACTGAGGTTGATAAAGATAACACCAGTGTCCACATATCATGTAATCTATCAGACAACTTATACTATAGTACATGTACTTTAATGATTCCTAAGTATATAATAATGTAGGTTGACCTTTACGAAAACCAGGTTGTTATACGGAATCCAATTTACAAAAGGTTCATCTTAAAGACTTGATGTACCGTATTTTGTTTAGGGCGGTATACAATGATACATTCACATGTGCTGGTAAATATATACTGAAATGTACTGGCGTGTCTGAAAGTTGAAACTAATGAAACATCTGTGGCTAAGAAATGGAACCAGTTCATGTACATAAAAGTTCAACCCTATAAAGGGTCTAAAAACTCTTTACACGGTTAATAAAGTAATGTGAAATTAAAATTAATATCATGTGAAACTGATATCCTAATAATGCCTAGCTTGTGTACTTTATTCCAATAAATGTCACTTGCAAAATGTCTGAAGCATGGTGCGCCTTGTCTAGAAATGGAAACTTTGTTAAGTAGATTGTTTTTCTGGTTTCCGCCTCAACAGAAATGCAAATTGTGAATTTTAATTTGAAAATGTCAAGTTCCAAAGGTTTTTTTTTTTAAATAAAAAAACCAAAACAAACCCTAAGTGCGATAGTACTATTTGGTCCAGGGACCGAGCATGGCGTCGTCGCCACCATCTTGGAATAGTGATGTCATATAAAAAATCGAAATCCGGCTATCGCTTCGCAAGAAACAAGCATGACAAGTGTCAAGTACCGGGTCTTTTTTTTTTTCTTTTTTTTTCTTGTTAGGAGCCTCGCTCCAAAGAACAAATAGAGTATCTGTTTGATCCTCTTTTTAAATGTGGTCTATTTTACAGATTCAGAGAATTGTTATCATTGTATGATAGCTTATTGTTTCTGTTAATATTTTTATTATTATTATTATGTACGGCTTCGTGAACACATCCGGCCAAACCACAGATCCATTCACATGATTATGTGGCTTACAAATGTCCGTATTTACTCCTTTTTCTCGTTAGTCACACAGCTTAGCAAGTTGTTGTGGACGCTCCGGGTCAAATTGTTTTCATGAACACAAAAAAAGAAAGAGTTCATATAAAAAGCAAATTGGTATACTTATATCTCAGGTTCTAAACCAGTTAGGGTCTAATTTTGGTGTGCTAAACCTACATTTCCAGGGTCAAGGAGTGCAATTATACCATATAGAAAAGGATCAGATTGTTTTTATTAATACTAAAAAGAACATCTTCATATACATTGAAAAACATCACACAAATTCAGTATGCTCTTAAGGTACAGTAGTTACTGAAAATATTGCATTGACTCTATATTGTCACAACTCCCTCACATGTCCTTTTTGCTTGTCTTACTTTTCACATCGACCCTTGTAGCTACATATGGATTACACAGACACACGCCATGATTGACTATCTTTATCGAGAATCCAGCCCCAACATTCTGGACTAGCTGCATTCTGTGAAGTATCTCTATTGTCCTTCCATTCTGGCAAATATGCTCCATTTTTGGCTTCATGTACATACATGTTCTAAGTCATTGGTCTTAACATACAAAACAACAATGAATCGTTCCAGCAGCTGGACACTAGAAAAGATCCAACTTATGGAACACCTGAACGAACACGGTTTAATATATAAGTATCAGTCTGCATACAGAAGTGCTCACAGTACAGAAACAGCTTTAAACCATGTATTTGACACTATTAGAAGCGGAGTTGACAAAGGCTTCGTCGCTATGCTCGTTTTACTTGACCTTTCTGCTGCCTTTGATACGCTGGATCACAGTATATTACTCAACAGACTTGAATCCGAGAATGGAATCAGCGACCTTGCTTTGAATGGGATTTCATCATATCTAATTGGTAGAACACAGGCAGTGATGGTAAAAACTTCCTCCTCTGACAGAGTGACTCTCACCTGTGGTGTATTGTTTTGCACGTACACGAAACCACTTGGTAAACTGCTCACCGAAAAGGATTTATACCACCATTTTTATGCAGACGACTCACAAGTCATAAATTTCTTCACTCCAGAAGAGAATAGTCCGTTGTCTTCTTGCATGAAAATGGAATCATGTGTAACTGAAGTGAAAAGTTGGATGACTAACAATATGCTCAAACTTAATTCAGACAAAACAGAAGTGTTATTGATTGCCCCTCCGAGAAGATTAAAGAAGAGTAACATTACATATTTGAAAATTGAAAATTCTAACACCAACCTTTCAAGTTACATTAAAAATCTGGGTGTTATCATTGAAATAATCTATCAATGGAAAATTATATCAATATCATAGAAATGTGTTCTGAATTGTTGCTAGAATTGTAGAAAACTGAACTCTTTGCATGCGCTACGAGCTATACACATGTTCACATTATTATTATTATCTGAAGTCTACTTTTGTGAGCTATGTTGTAAGACAAACATAATGGGAATGTACAGTTATTGATGGCAATACATTATTACAAACATGGAATATTTTCAGTGACTACAGTACTTTCAGAGCATACTGATTTGTTGTGGGTTTTCAAATTTTTATGAACAGATGTGTTTCCCAACTTAAATTAACATCTAAACTTACTTGAACGTTCTCTTTTCTTGTATTAATAAAAACAAATTTTGTCCTTTTACAGATGGTATAATTGTATTTCTGGACCCTTAAAATATATGTTTAAACACCAAGAGTGCGATCCTGTCTGGTTCAGAAGCTGGGATATGGGTAGATCTGTGTAACTTCTCATTCTTGTTATAATAAAAGCAATCTGGTCTTCAAAAATGTAGGTTTATACACAATGATTGTAATCCTAACCGGTTCAGAAGCTGAGATATTACTTTTAGTTTACCATTTTTTTATTAAAATTAGCGGTTTTCTTTTGTGTCCATAAAAGCAATCTTATCCTTTTTACATGTTAGAATTGTTTTCCGTTGCCCTGAGAATATGGTTTAAGACATCATGATTGCGATCCAAGCTGATTTAGAAGCGGAGATACAGATTTTTACATACCGGAAATTCTGAAGATCTAAAATGGCAGCCATAATATATTTGGAGGAAATATGGTTCCTTTTCTAAATGGTATAATTATATTCCTTGGTCCTGAAAATGTACATTTAGAAACCAAGATTGCGACCATAAGGGTTTAGATAGGTTGTTGAATATCGAAAATCTTGAAAATCCAGGATGACCACCATACCATATTTGGAAAGCTAAGGTAGTAGGTAGCATCTCTGGAAAATTTGGCGGTTTTGTCCGGAACGTCCGCATCCACCTCAAATCTGCTTCTAAACTGCCTGACTATGTGGGTTTCTAGTTGTTATGTATGACGTGGTCCTCATGTATTTACTACTTATGGCAATATTGTGGAATTTATTCCACAACATATTGGCCAAGAAAACGTTTCCAGGGTTGCGGTAAACCACAGCCCGTATACTACTAACAGTAATGTAATAATAGCAATAACTAAAATGAAATTGGGTTAACGTCCTACTTTTCTGCAACAACCAGGCATCCGGCATGTATGCTATTGGTTATTTTACTTGCAAGCCAACGTAACAAGCGACCTTTTTGTCCCATCCCAACTACTAGACGCCGTTCCTTGTCGCGCCCTCCACCACTGAGCGGGCGGTGATATTGAAGAAGATGGCTGTAACTATGAGCGTCGAGCGAATAACCGGGTTACTACGCTTCTGATTATACTTTTCGGCTTGACGACTCCACTTCTGTCCAATGTGGGACTTGCATAATACAACTGGCCAGTATTTCTCTTTAGAAGTTTGGTTTACATGGACTTTGAGCTGTATTATTTTAAAGGAATTTGTACTAGTTTGTTTAAGTGACATTGTGAGTCTGTCTGTCTGTCGCACTGATCGCTAAAAGTAAACTTTTCATTTGATATGGTTTCACACCTTCAATTCAATCAACAAAAACTGTCTGAGTCTCCACGTTTGTGGTTAAATTCCCATTACTCTTTCTTAAAGGGACAGTTTCCGTCGAATTATTAGTTTCGACATTCAAAGTAAATAGCACTGTCTCTTGTAACACCCACTAAATATCCTTATGGCCTTACATGCGCTTCAGCCGGAAATTCCGAAGAAAACCAAAGAGGTAAGAATGGCAACTCTACACCTGTGTAGTCACTGAATGGAACCCCTAACCTGGTAGTGCCTGGGTGTATTCTACCTCCCTGGTGTAGGTAATATTAAGTATTCCAATTCGTTAAACCATGCGATCACCCAACCTACAAGTAAATGCAACCCTGTCGAACACCAATTCAAAAAATGTTGACACATTCGTCATATTTCTTTATTCGATGTTTGAAAATTCTACACGTAAATACAATGAACCATTCTTGTTGAAACATTTTCTAATGTAGTTATCTACCTGTAGAATGTATCTGGTGCCCACACCTCTCAGTGTTATTCACAACAAAGTGTGATCTTTTTAAGTATGTCTCTGTTTATTTACATTTTCATAACAGACACTTTGAGTGCATATCTAGCATAATTTATCACCTAAAAACAAAACAAATAATACTGAATTCAAAGAAAATATTCCAACTAGGGAAAACAAAAAATCTCAATTTTTGGACGTTTAATTTTTTCTACAGCATAATATACATCTATCAATATATGTAAATGGATATTTTGTTTATACTTTCAGAAAGTTTAGGATGTTGCCAAGTGGAGAAAGAACCTATGAAAATAGGTTTATTAATTAACACCAGTCTTGCCATTAAATCACAGTAATGGATGATGGTAAACTTATATGAGGAACAAACGAGTTGTGAAATTAACACCGGGAGTCCTTATTTGTTATATATAAATAACGCTGACCTTTCTATAATAAAAGTATCATTTAATGATCTGTTGTGTTTGCCGGTAAGGTAATTGTCGGCGACTTTAAAAAGATTGATAATTGCTATTTGAAGCAACATTTATTTAGGCAATTGAAAGGTAAGACGGGTTTCAGCTGCTAAGGCAGGTGGTTTGGAAAAATAGGCCAAATAAGAATACCGTTACTAACATTCATATAGCCCTTATTGTCCCTTCCATACAACGGCAACTTGTCGCGTGCCGCCAGCGGTAATTCCAAAGACAGGGAGCACAAAGGCTTATGATTGATACGCACGCGCCATACACACAGACGTTTCGTATGATTTAACCCCATTAGTTGTCTGCACGCGGTCGGTAGTTTTCATTTAACTGGCCCCCATACTTCAGAATATTTTGGGCAGGTGGTTAAAACAAAGTTCATGTGTAGTACATAGATAAGCTGATAGACTATGTTTACCTGTAGCGGTTTAAAATGACAAATCCATACCGGTATAGCGATAACCTTGCACTTCATTTATTTATAACAACAGACATTTTATAATATGAGACCATCTGTCCTCCTTAGATACCATATACAAATTATGTCTGGGTTGAGTAAAACAGACTTACACACTTACCTATTATAGTCCAGGAGCTAATAACAAAAACTATATGGTGATCAGTTACAAAAGGACGCCCCCACCCCAAATTTGTAGTGGGTGTCCATACGAGTAAAAATCAACTGGTCAGATCGGGCGCGGTTGAGTCATATAGCCACAGCAGCACCTTAAATTACCCCTCAAGGAGCCAAAAATTAAGTCATAAGTTACATGGTTGAAACTTTCTAGAAGCAAAGGTATCCATAGCTGGAGTAAATATTTCTATAGCTGGAGTAAATATTTCACAAATCTAACCAAAATTTCCGGGGCTTTCCCCAAGTCAGACCAGGTCCAATATCTCCTCACGGGGCTTATAATATGGTCAACAGTTACATGGCTGAAATTTAACAGAAACAAAGTTCCATATTTGGAAAATATAATTTTCAAAAATCTAACCAAAAGTTTGGGGGCTTTCCCCAAGTCAAATCGCTCTATAAATGGGGCTAATAATATGGTCATCAGTTACATGGCTGATAGTCAACAGAAACAAAGATCCATTCTTGGAAAATATAATTTTCAAAAATCTAACTTAAAGTTTGGGGGCCTGCCCCGAGTCAGATCGCTCCAAAGTCTGTCCGACCACACCCTAAAACTGGGGCTAATAATATGGTCATCAGTTACATGGCTGAAACTTACCAGAAACAAAGGTCTATACTTGAATAATATAATTTTCAAAAATCTAACCAAAGGTTTGGGGGCTTTCCGCAGTCAGATTGCTCTAAAGTCTGTCCGAACACGCCCTTATATGGTCATCGGTTACATGGCTGAAACTTACCAGAAACAAAGGTCTATACTTGAAAAATATAATTTTCAAAAATCTAACCAAAAAATTGGGGGCTTTCCACAAGTCAGATTGCTCTAAAGTCTGTCCGACCACGCTCTAAAAATGGGGATTTTTGTGAGGTGATCAGTTACATGGCTGGAACTTAACACAGATATGTATCAGTGCATGGATAATGAGATTTTCGAAAATCTAACCATAATTGTTGGGTCTTTTCTCAAGTCAGGGTAACCTTTATAACGAAGCCCCACCCCATCCCCTCTATATAAAACTTATAATAATGTAATATCAATGATACCTTTTTAAACCACAGCAGAATTCAATATACTAACACAAAGTAGAACATATGTTTGTTAGCTACATGTATGTCAAATCCTCATATGAGAAATGGGATCAGGTGTTGTAAAATAAGTAAGCATACCATACCCTATTCACGGCAGACTGCATTAAGTATAGCCACGGTGGCTAAGTGTGTAATGCACTGGCTCGCTAGCCTTGAGTATTCGATCCCTGCATTGGTAGAGAAAGTTCATCGGTTCAGGACGGAGTGCCTGACAAGGACAGTTGTCTAGTCGTTCGGGTGGGACGAAAACACGAGGTCACGTGTATACATTGGCATGCACTTAAAGACCCCTTGGCAGTTGGAATTCGATATAAGAGTTGGCCATAGGGCAAAATTTCCCTCATAGCACACTGTATGGCGTATGTCCGTCTTCATTAGCCCAGTAGGAGCAGAACAGTATGACGTTAAACCCCATTTCATTTCCGTTTGTGGCACATCACAACCCCCTTTCAACAATCATTCGGAATGTTATTCAATATCTTACAACATTATGAAAAAAAAACCCATAAATATTTTTATTGGAATGGTGTAATATTTAGCTTTGCTTCGGAACAAAATATTAACGCAGGTGCTGCTAGCCAAAGGACAGGAATCAGCCCATTCAATAATTCGATTTTGGCTCGATAAACCATTAATTTATTTTCAACATAGGATCTGCAGCTACTATGGTAAGAAAGGAATTCCTATTAAATGAACAAATATTAAAAAGAGACTGGTTCAAGAATATTCCACCCCAACTCCCTCCTCTATCGCCAAGATGATACTGATAATTCTACAGGTAATATGGATTTTATTGTTCCATGGATTTATGCTTGGAAGTAGGTGTTTATAGCAACCAACATTTCGTTGTATAAATGTGAATGAGTTACACAAGGAACTTGGAGCAACGTTATCAGAGTATTTACCAGCATACAACACTCACTGGCTTTGATCATACTGCATTATTTAGGCAGAAAGAGGGAGTTTGTACTTTAAAATTAATATAAAAGCTGTTGATGTCCTGAAAGCTATGGCGGTATATTAGATTCAAAGTTCTAACGTGGTATCGTCTAATTTCTAACTTCTGTTCATGTAATTTTTAACTTCAATTCATGTAATTTCTAACTTCTATTCATGTAATGTTTAAATTAAGACAATGTATAATCCAACTTCTTTATTTGTTCAGTGATTTTAATTCTATTTCATCTTAGTTCTATTATTCAGACGAAAAACGTCTTCTTCATTGACAATTTGCAGGTTTAGCATAAACATCGGACAAATTTAGAATTTTTACACTTCTGCATAGCAACCATCATTTTGAAGTCGTTTGTTGTCGCGACTGCGTGCTCATTTTGTGATTGAGCACCCGATCGGGACCATTATGTTGATTTAAAATAAAGATGTGACGTCATCCTTTGATGTTGGCGCACCATTATTGGACCTGCGTAACGTATTCCATTGAAATGCACGTGCTGGATAGTGTCTATATTTTAAGTTGTTTAGTGATCTCGTGTAAGACATTGCGTAATATGTAGATATTGCCCTCGTGCTATCGCACTCGTACAATGTCAATATATACTGTTCAAAAAAGTAGGGGATATTCAGAAACAATACAAAAATGCGGAAATGCACTGCTGTTTTTATTAGAGGTAACCAGTGTATGTTAATAACTGGCCAATTGCCTACACATAAACATAAACAGTTCATAATATGGGCGGCTTATCTAACGGCCCCATTTCACTCGCAAAGAGATACACTGTCAAAAGTGAAAATGGACGTTTTTGATTTTTGTCTTAAAAATGAGTAATTGCTCCACCAATCCTCAGACTTTCATTAATTCGTCGTGGCATGCTCCTAATCAACCGTCCAATCACGATTTGGGGCCGTCTGACCCACTCCTCTTGCAGTGCAACGGTCAATTCTTGCAGTGTTGTCGGTTGACGTTGACGCCGACGAACACGTCTCCCAATCAAATTAAACGTATAACACTAAAGCAAAGATGCGCTAAACAGTAAATCTTATGCAAAAACCGGTAGGAAAGCAAACATGGATAGGATAAAACCAGCACGCGGCAGTTTTCATCAACTCTTCCTTGAAGTGTCAAATTTGACAATGAACCCATCCCACGTGTATGGCGCTATTGCGTGTCGCAGGTTCAGCTCAGTGACTCTGTTAGGGCGATAAGTTCTTCATCTGTGAACATACTCTCCAAGCATGTCAAGTGTCCATGACTATTTATTATATCACAACCTGCATAGGTATTTGCATTTCAATATCCCCAATTTTTTTTTTTTTGAAGAGTAAATTACTTAATGTCTCACATTCGACCATTAAACTACACATAAACTCTTTGAATGGTTGGACAGGGAGAGAGAGAGAGAGAGAGAGAGAGAGAGAGAGAAAGAGCAATGGGGTTTAACGTCCACGCGACACAAACTAGGTCATTTCGGGACTAACATATGGTTCAATTTTATTTCAATAATTCGCTTGAGCGTAGGGGTCTTTAGCAGTGAGAGTTAACCGGAGGACCCGGAGAAAACCCAAAAGTTTGAACAGGCTACCCTACTCCTTGTCACTCCTTTTCAATTTTAACACTCCGCCATTCTAAATTTGTTCGACGTTCGTTCTTAACATGTAAAGCGACGATGAAGTAGACATTTTTCGTCTTAATAATAGAAGTAAGATGATTCCAATGACGAATAAAACAATTCAAATGGACATCGACAGCTTTTTCTAATAATTTTAAAGGCCAGACTTTCCCTTTTCTACTAAAAGATGCAGTATAATCACAACCAGTAAGTGCACGGTTTGCTCCTAAAGAGTCTGATAACGCAGCGCCAAGATTCTTGTGTAACTTATTCACACTCGAAATAGGTGTTGCTATTAACAACAGCCCTAAATCATCGTTTTCATCTAAACCAAGTTCGTTAAACTAGTTGAATAACTATTTTACCCATCGAATACACTGGACTGATCCCTATTCTTTTGCTAGAAGTACATCTGCGTTAACAGGTTATTCGAAAGTCAAATCTACAGTCATTCTTGAAAAAAGCTTCCCAGTTCTCTTCAGTGCTAAATACCCTTCAATAAATTGCCATGAAAACGAAAGAACAACCAAGCATAGTTTGGCTTACAGTAAAAGGCAAATACATAACGTGTTAATTTTGGCAAGTAGTATAATTCGTAATCTCAAGTTTTTGTGGACAAACATTTAGCAATGTAACGGAAGGATAGCTCAAATTATATAGTGTATTAAAACTATGTAAATGAATAGTTTTCATAAAT